CACACACACACACACACACATAAATGCATACACCACACACAGAGGGAGCTGGAGGAGGTGAGGGGGAGAGAGGGAGGAGGAGGAGGAGAGGAGAAGTTGGGGGGAGAACACTTCAATCAGGTTGCCTTCTAGGGCTTTCAACAAGGCCACCTCTTCTCCCCAACATCTCTTTGGCCCCTGCCCTCTCACCCTTGCCTTATGACCCCTGGCTCTTGCTCACCTTCACCACTCCAGCCACACTGTTCGTTCCCAAGCTCCTTTGCACGTGCTGAGGGCTCTCTACCCTCTGCTTGTCCCCAAGTTGGCCCCTTCTCAACAATCACTTCTGAGAGTATCTTCTCGTGGCCACTCCTGCCTTAGCATTTTTCCCATAGAGCCTTGCAATTTTCTTTCTCTAATTATTTACTTGTGGTCATCCTCTGCCAATTGCCCACCAAGGGGAGGCACTGGGCTGTTTAATTACTGAGCCCCTGGAACTTCCAGTCTGTAGCCCCATGCCTGTAACTTGTGACTTGAGCTAGATGCTTGAACATGAATGGTGGGCATGAAGGTGGCACAGACTTGCTGCTGCTGTCACTGACGAGAAAATCTTTCCAGAGACTGCATGTGGTTTTCTTGGGGCCACACAGTCAGTGAAGGACGGACTGGTGCTGGTGCCAAGATCTGAGAACTCCAAGGCCTGTCCCACCACCTGCATGGTGTGGAGCAGGAGACTAGACAGTGGATCCCAGTGGTCAGAGCCTTCAGCTCTTAAAACCCCAGAGCCGAGCTGGGTGTGGGTAGTGCACACCTTTAATCCCAATAGTCGGGAGGCAGAGACAGGGGAACCTCTGTGAGTTCGAGGCCAGCCTGGTCTACATAGTGAGGTCCAGGACAGCCAGGGATGTGTAGAAAGAGCCTGACTCTAAAGCAAAGCAAGAAAGAAAAACAAACAGCAAACAAACCAGGGATGTGTGGAATTCTGAGACTGCTCCAGAACTTCACAGGAGACAAAGCACAGGTCCACACAGATGCCCACAAGTGTCCCAGCTCACAACAGGGACCCTCTCCAGGTGAAGAAAGTGTTTTAGAAAGAGGGCGTCAATGACAGGGCAAAGTGCTGAACACAGATTCATCGAGGCCACACCTCAGACAAGGGGAAGGTGCAGGTTGTTTTAATGGGAACCTGATGTTGGGACTCTAACCCAGACTGGTCTGAAACTTTTGGTTATCTGCCTGCCTCCAGAGTGTTGGAGTAACAGTGAGCCCTCATGCTCCCAGGGCTTCCTGTGATAAATCCTAGGGTCCGGCCCAACCCATACAGTACCACTACCCGCCAGCAGGTGGCAGTGATCTCAGGAAATGATCTCAGGTGTGGACTGACTGGGGGTT